TTAAGAAAGAAGGTCTACTCTGACTTGTAGTTCCAGGCAATGGGCCATCATGGCAGGGACATCATGACAGCTTGAGCCTGAGGCAGCTGGTTATTGCACCCATGTTTAAGAAGCAGAAAGGTACTGATGCTTCCTCTCTTTTTTAGTCTGAGACCCCCAACCCTGGGAACGATGCTGCCCATGTTTAGAGTGGTCCTACCTTTCTCCATCAAACTAACCTAGACAGACCTGCGTGGATGTGACCAAGTCCATGTGATTCTAATTCTCATCAGGTTGACAATTAAGATTAACCATTAACAAATAAGAGAGCCATGGCAGAGAGATGGCTGAGCAGCCAAGTGCTGACTGCTGCTCTTGCGTAAGACTCAGGTTCAGTTTCCAGCACCTCCATGGCAACTCAAGTGTCTATAGCCACAGTTCCAGGGAGCCTAGTGCCCACCTTTGACCTCTGGGGATACCTGTATACACACGGTACATATAAACTCACATAGACACGCACATAAAAGCAATAATAAATAAATACATGTAGAAGTGAATGGACACATAAATGGATAAACAGATGTTTTTAGGGGTTGACCTCCATAATTGGAGGACATCTTACCATCTTTATCATTCACCTTGGCTTGTATCTCACATGATAGGTATGTCCCACGTGCCTTTCAACATCTGTACTGGCAGATTTTGCTAGAAATGTGACCTCTCCTATATATTATCCAAAAAACCATCATAGACTTTCGGGTCAGCGTGATACAGATTCCCAGAAGAAAGAGCGAGCAATGGTTCCTTCATTTCGGGGATGGGGTGGTGAGGAGTATAAGTCACACTCCAGTTTTAAGTTCTATCAAAAGATGTCAGCGTCATTGTCAGTCAGGTTAGCATAGTGTAGCAAGAAGTCTTGAGAGGGAGTCAAGACGTGGGTTCTGAGGACAAGGATGCTGAACGAATCTTCTGGAGAGGACCATCATGTTGGCTGACCCAACGCTTTGACACATGCTCCCACTTAGCACTTGTATCTTGTTTACACTTTGTTTAAAAGGTGGGTTTCAAGTCACTCCATCTCATTTGGTCATGAGCTGCTGGGTGTGTGGACCTTGCTTCGTCCTTCGTGGTGTCCAACAATGCCTCCGTGTTGCTGGCTCTCAAAAACCTTCTGTTGGCTTGAACTGCTAACTTTTCCTATGACCTAAGTTTGGCTTCCATGAGCAAGTACCTGACTGCTTTATCTTTCTGATCTTCAGGCAAGGTTTATTTATTAAAATACAAATGAATTGCCAATATACAAGTAGGTTAGCCTTTCTAGAATAGTTTATTCTTACCAACTTTTCTAAATAAAAAAAAAATCAAAAAAAAATGGGCAGCGAATTCATGGAATAAATTAAAGGCAATTTCAAAATGTTTCCTATATTTCTGTGGGCCCATTATAAAGAGGATAACTCTCCAGTCCACCCCCACCCTCCAACTAAAATAAAAGTTTTCCATAAAGACCGCGGCAATTTGCAGTTTTGCAGTAGTTGTTTACTGCTCTCAGATCCTGATGAGAGACCGTTGGGCAAGGGAGGGATGGTTCAGAGGCGATCTCTTCTAAGCCCGTACATCTAATCAGAGCCTGCCTGCTTCTAAACCATCAACACACTATTCCCCACTGCACTAGGTGTTCTTTTGAAGTTTCTCCTACCAAGCTCTGACCTCATTTCTCAAGGTGTATCCACATTTCCTAAATGGGAAGTTTTGGCAAACAGAAGACAGCCCCCACATGCAAAATGTTTTGAGTGACACTTCCCACGTAACACATAAGAGCATCAGAAAGGTGAAATACTATATCTGTGCCATAGAGTGTAACCAGCAGTTCATTGATGAATCTGGGAGCAAAAATGGGCTTCCTCCATTGGTAATAAATAGATTTGTTTATTAACAATTCTGGACATATAGGAGCTCACGTGGAAATACTATGAAATATTGGCATGTTGTACCTGCATTGTTCTTAAGGGATTTTGAGATTGCACACCCATTATACCTCTGGATTGATTTGGTAACACGAAAAAGCCAAAAATGAACTTTCTCCTACGAGTGAGGCACAAGAGTAACCTTTGGAGAACAGAAAGTCTGAGGTGAGCATTTCATTCCATCTCATGCGCAATGGAAGGTGATGGCCTTTGTGTACCTTTGTGAGATGGGGAGTTTCTGAAACTTGTTGGCAGGACACTGTTTTCCATGTTGAGCGGCAGTCTCGGTGCATGGTGTATGGCTTCATGAGCGATGGCTTCCTTTTTAGGGTCTGAGAGTAGTTCTGGGGTCACTAGACACCCAAGTGAGATCAACTGTTATAAAAACACCCAGTTACTCAGGGTGAGCCATACTGGAATTGGCGGGCGTAGCAGACAGTTGAGAGTGCACACTTCCCCACCCTGTGAAAGAACCGACGATGATCTTGAGTTCAGTCTACCACGTTCAGTTCTACGGTTTAGATATTGTGATTGTTGTTATTACTTTTTTGGTGGGGACCATAAACTTTCTGTATGTTAAAAAGTCTTTTTCCTTTTATGGTCTCAGCACTTTGACCGAGGCTTTGCCACACAGTTTTAAAGAACATCGCATTTTGCTTTTAAAAAAGCTTAATCAGAGATAAAAATCCTGAAATAGATTACACAATTAATAGTTTCTTGGCTTGGGTGAGATGTGTAGGGGTTTGAGTCTGTGTGCGTACTGAATACCTCCTGAATTCCTGGTTTAACCATCGAAGACTCTGAAACTTTAGTTTTATTTGCAGTGTCTGTGAGAAATATATCACCCTTATGTAGCTGTTCGGGGTGGTTTTGCTGTTGTTTGTGAAGGTTTCAATCACTTTCCTTGCTCCTGAAGAGGAGAATGGGATTTGCCAGTGATAAATGGGGAAGTTGACTAGCTAACTAATAAAGATTTGTCTTAATCAAGTATGATTTGTCAGAACAGGAGCGCACTGGGGTCAGGGCGCAGGCAATGAATTATACAGCATTCACAGGAGGAAAGGACCCGGCAAGAGGCCTCATAAATATGCTGCCATTACCCACTGCTAATTCATATTCAAAGAACGCTACACACCGCCAGTCTCTAGACTGCCGAGCTGTTCGCCAGCTTCCCAAGCTTCTGTTTGTATAAAATTTAAAATAAAGAAAAGGAAGTTTTCCTTCTGTGTTTTTATTGTCTGAGTTCTCAAGGTGAGGCAGCCCCAAATTTGAACCGGCACCCCTAATTTGAAGTGGGTCATGGTGTTATTTTTTGTATATTATTAGTTTAGTGACTGCTGTAGGCTCTCATCGATCCCCTGGAAATGGTGGTAAGGTGCAGAACCCTGAGACCCACTCTCTCTCCTAGAAGAGACTTCACATGCTTTTCTTCAAGTAATGCCTCTGTGAATTTGGCTGCAATCAGAAATCCTCTCTGCCTTTACAGGAGGCATGATCCCTCACTGAGGAATTCTCATATTAAGATAACATACTGTTTGCTGAAGTTTGACGTATGTTAGATACATAGATGATATTTCTTATGTGTCATGTCATTCTGACGTGTTTCTATGGCAATGCTTTGGTGGACTCAGTGGGTCACTTTTCCAGTCTTTTTCTTTAATGTGATGAGGTCACTGTTTCTCTTCTTAGTGTTGGGCAGCTTTAGGTCCTGCTATAAGGTTGAGCTAACACTCAAGGCTAGCCGAGCTGACACTCTCACCTGTAATCTGGGCTGTGTCCCAGGCTGCAGAAGGTCAGATGGGGCAGGCAGTCCTCTCACCGGTTTCCTTGATGCTTAAATGACTATTGGGCAGTTAGAGATGAGGTTTTAGCTACGTACCCTGATATAGAGCATCCTGGTGTCTTAAACTGGTCGGAAAGGATACAGGCCTCATCTCTCTTAAAGGACCAGCCACACTACTGAGGGTTAATCCCTGTCCCTTTGGATGAGACTAAGGATTTCCACAATAAAAATAAGAATAATATAACTTTTGAAATTGGGTATATGCTATCGGTCTTTCAAGGATGCCACAGCTTGGATGTTGAAGTTCAATGATCAAAGGCTGATGGCTTAATTTCCAGGGTGGCACTATTGAGAGGAAGTGGAATTTTTATGAAAGAGGACTTTCTAGGAGCCTTGGATGCATGCTCTAGAAGAGTATGGCAGGACCCCGCACCCTCTTCTCTGCATTCTTCCCAAGACGTGAACAGTTTGCTCCGTATATATTCTTCACCTGGGAGACAAGAGCATGAGTCTACCTGGCCACGGTCTGCGGATGCCGACACAGCCACATCACACCCTTTCAAGGCGGAATTGGCTGTATCCAAGCTTGAAGACAGTGAGGGAAGCTGACCAACATTGGGGAATTGCACGGGCTTTAAACAGCAGTTTGTCTTCTCTTTTCGAAGGAACAAAAAGTTAAAATAAGCACCTGTAACCCTAGCACTTGTAAAGAACGTGAGTTTGAGGTTACCTTGGGCTGTGCAGCCAAACCTGCCTCGACAACTCCCTCAACCCAGACTCCTTCATCCAAGAAGGCTTTGGTCCACAAAACCGCATCCTGTGTCTTACAATGTGGAAATCATCACCACGATGTGACATTTACACAGAGAGTAGATTTGGGTGGTGTTTACTTGGAATGGTGAAATCAAAACCTGCCACCTCCTGGACTCCATGAAGATATACCCAAGGTGGTGCCAGCAGTGACCCACTCTGCCTCAGAATCTTGTGTTCTTCCTGTCAGTATGCACTAAAGCCAAATACACAAAATCCCAAAAAAGAGGCCTGGGGATTGTGCATTGATAATAGGAGAAAGTTAGAAAAAATGGGCCCGCTGGGCCTGGGGACAGACCGCACGAGGATCTGACTGGTGTGCTTAGAAAACCCACCTTGCTTTTCTTTCTTTCAAGTAGAAGGTACTTTTTTCCCCACTTTACCTTGTATTCTGTGCATTTGTTTTATAGCATGAAAATATCCAGGCTTACTTGAGCTTCCTGTTTTCTTCTTTGTTTTTGCAGCATCCAGTTCTAAGTCGGCAGGCCAGAATTCTGCCTGTGCTGCTAGCCACTGGTGGACAAGTGAAAGCGTGGTGTTCGCCACTGGCCACGACCATCTGCTCAGGGCTCTGTCAAGGGTTTGGAATACCAGCCAGTCTGGGCTGAATCACTGGCCTCTTCTGAGCCTCTGAGTGCCTTGGCTGTAGGAAGGTTAATAGTAATCTCCTTCCTGTGGGTACAGAGTCAGTGCTATGGCATAAAGTAACACAGACAATAAACAGCCATCAAAACTTAAGTAAAAATAACCCGAGAGCAAAATGTGCCTCACAGTGCTTTGTGGCAGCCTGTCCGCAGTAAACTTCTGTTGCATGTGTGTTCAGTGAGTGAACTCATTTTACCCACAAGGGCTTATTTAAAGCTGCATGCTTTTTCCCTTCCCTCCGAAAGTCCCATCTCAACTTATTCAGATGTTTTGTGTAGAAGTTCAGTAAAAGACTTGATTTTAGTGGCTCCTAATGGAGCCCAGTCAAATATAATTAAAAATTCTTCCTAGAACTATGCCAATAAGTTCACTGTGGAGCCTTGCTGATGAAGTCTAATAAATTCTCTGTTGTATTTAGAAACAATAGTGACTTTGTTTCGCTCTGTGTTTTAGAAACTCTCTGTGTCCCAATGCTTGCTAAGAAAGCAAAACGAGAGCAAACTCTAGGGTTTTACCAAGAGCCTCCAGCTGTGCTGCCTGTGCCGGTCCTTCTGAGGTCAGCTGATGCTCACGTTCTCAGCTGCAGAAGTGTCGCCTGTATCTCCTGGACTCACCAGCCCTAGCCCCTGACCAGCTACACTCTCACTCAGCGCTCATCTTGCCCTTCTTTAATGTCATAGGGCAGCGTAACTGTGGGGAATCCAGAGTTCTCTGTCTCTTTCTGGAGTAGGGTCTAGAGGACAGTAGTCTGGGCTCAGTTTAGAGATCTTGGCATCCATACATCTGAACTTGAGACATAATGCTGAGATCACATAACCTTTAAATCCCACAGAAATGGGCCATGAAGTCATTGTCCCCTTTTCACTATTTCCTTTGTCTTAAATTTGTTAATAATTTCTAGTTAAGGTGGCCTTCATGCACTGTGCATGAGTGGAGATCAGAGGACAGCTTGTGGGAGTTAGTTCTCCGCTCCCACCGTGTGGGCGTCAGGGTCAGCAGCAAGTACCTTACCCACTGAGCCTTCTCCTCCCTGACCAGATTTTGTTAATTTTTAACTCTCAAAGACTTTCCCAACTTTCAGTGCCTAAAATATAAGGCTATTCTGCCATATAGTGTTATTCAGTCCCTGTGAGTGAGTGTGTGTTTGTGTGTGTGTGTGTGTGTGTGTGTGTGTGTGTGAACTTCATTCATGCAAACATACTACACATTTTCAGGCTTTATAGCCTTAGCTTATCAACCCGAACAGCAGAACAGTGCTATGCATGCATGCATGCATACATACATACATACATACATGCATACATACATATAGTTTTACTGATCTTTATTAAGCTCTACATTTTTCTCTGCTTTCCTCTCTGCCTCTCCCCTCCCCTTCAACCCTCTCCCAAGTTCCCCATGCTCCGACTTTACTCAGGAGATCTTGTCTTTTTCTACTTCCCATATAGATTAGATCTATGTATGTCTCTCTTAGGGTCCTCATTGTTGTCTAGGGTCTCTGGGATTGTGATTTGTAGGCTTTTTTTTTGCTTTATGTTTAAAAACCACTTACAAATGAGTACATGTGATAATTGTCTTTCTGGGTCTAGGTTACCTAACTCATCCATTTGCCTGCAAATTTCAAGACGTCATTTTTTTTCTGACATGTAGTACTCCATTGTGTAAATGTACCACATTTTCCTTATCCATTCTTTGGTCATGGGACATTTAGGTTGTAAAGACTATATTAGTAGCTCATTATTTTGCATTATAAATATGGATACATGTTTGTGAGTCTGTGTTCAGATATATATGTTATACATAGGTAACTTCCAGTTGAGTTGTAAATGTTTTGTATGATCAAAAATATAACTGTGGCCCCTTAGCTCAAACCATGTAGCATCAACATGGCTTAAATTATATAATATCAACATGGGCCAAAACTGTAAAGTCAACATGGGTCAAAACATGTAATATTGTAGATGGAGACTGTTTGTTCATTTCCTAGGCATCCAGACCCAAAATAATCACATGGAAACTATATCAATTGCAATTGCTATATGGTTTGGCCAATAGCTCAAGCATATTTCTAGCTAGCTCTTACATCTTAAGTTAACCCATTTCTATTATTTTATATTTTACCACAAGGCTTATGTTTTACCAGTACCAGTGTGCTGATGTCTTTTTTCTCCAGTGACGCCTACATGGCATCTCCCTGACTCCACCTTCTTTCCTCCTCTGTCTGCTTAGAATTCCCGCCTTGCTTTATTCTGCTAAGCCACTGGCCAAAACAGCTTTATTCATTAACCAATAAAAGCAACACATATACAGAAATACTTCCCACAACATAATGTCAACTTGGGTCAAAACATGCAACAGCAACATGGACCAAAACGTATGGCCTAAGAATAAAGTATCAAACTCTCAGGAGAACACAGAATGAGAAATCTTTGAAGCCTGGTGGTGGCAGTGAGTTCTTAGATATGACACCCACAATACAGACAGCAAAAGGAAATATAGACAAATCAGACTTTGTCTAACTTAAAGATTTTTTGCTTATCAAAAAAGCAAAACTGAAAAGGCAGCAGAAGGAAAGTGTTCACAATTCACATATTTGATAAAGCTGTAGTCTCTAGAATATATAGAAGTAATTCTTACCATTTAAGACAAAAACGTCAGCACAGATTCTTAAGTAGACAAGCACCTTACTGTGCATTTCTCCACAGACCTGCAAATGGCCAATCATCACAGGAGAAGGTGCTTGGCTGCTGTCAGTCAGGAGCACTCAGGGTGACTACAGGCTGGGAATATAACCAAACCTGTGCTGAGGCCCAAGAGAAGCTAGAGCTCCTGTGTGTTGCTTGTCACAACATAAAATGCTATAGCTGTTATGCAAACAATTCTGCAGTCACTTAATCCAGCGGTTCCCATCTAGGCCTGGAGCGGGAAGACCTGGCAGCAAATACTCAGGCGTATCCTTACGAATACACATAGACACACATGGATGGCCCAACAAATACTCAGACAGACACTCGCCAATACACATGGACATACATGGTTGGTCCATGTAAACCATCTTCCTCAATTCCTTTTCAGTTTGCCTTAGCTTTTGAGGCAGAATTTCTCAAGGAACCTGGAACTTGTCATTTTAACTATACTGGCTGACAGCAAACCCCTGCGCTTCTCCTTTTTCCTCCAAAAACCAGTGCTAGGGTACTAGCTGTATGCTTACACACTCAGCTTTTGACACCGCTCTTGGGAGGCTACAACACATCCTCGTGTTTGCAGAACGAGTGCTTTTCTTACTGAGCCATCTCCCCTCCTCCCTGCTCCTTCGCCTGCTGTTAGGAATAGCCTGACGACCTAAACTGCAGTTATTTTTGCCTGTATAAGACCACTTCCCAAATATAACCCAGTAACAGACACTGAGAGAAACAATTAATAAGTGGGACCTCCTGAAACTGAAAAGCTTCTGTAAAGCAAAGGACACGGTCAACAAAACAAAACGACAGCCTACAGAATGGGAAAAGATCTTCACCAACCCCACATCAGACAGAGGGCTGATCTCCAAAATATACAAAGATCTTAAGAAATTGATCATCAAAAGAACAAATAGTCCAATAAAAAAAATGGAGTACAGACCTAAACAGAGAACTCTCAAAAGAAGAATCTAAAATGGCTGAAAGACACTTAAGGAAATGTTCAACATCCTTAGTCATCAGAGAAATGCAAATCAAAACAACTCTGAGATTCCGTCCTAAACCTGTAAGAATGGCTAAGATCAAAAACACTGATGACAACTTATGCTGGAGAGGATGTGGGGAAAAGGGAACATTGCTGGTGGGAGTGCAAGCTGGTACAGCCTCTTTGGATGTCAGTGTGACAATCTCTCAGAAGGTTAGGAAACAACCTTCCTCAAGACCCAGAAATACCACTTTTGGGTATAGATCCAAAGGATGCTCATTCGTACCATAAGGACGTGTGCCCAACTATGTTTGTAGCTGCATTGTTTGTCATAGCCAGAACCTGAATTCCACTCCTTGTTTTTTAAAAGAACAAAAATATGTTCACCTCAAAAAGTTTAAGTGGGAATCATTCCTTCTATGATGTTCTGTTCATTGTATTTTTCAGGAGACAGAAAGTTAATATTTACCAATAGCATGCTGTAATCTTTCATGGGAATGATGGGGTAGATGTGGCTGGCCCCATCCTTCTGTTGCCAATGTCATTGCAAAAGCCTTGTTTTGAACACTGATAATGCTTTTGTTGTCTGTGTCAGACTGCCTTGCTACACAAGCTGTAATGTGTTTCCAATAGAAGTCGTTTAATGTTTTCCCTTATTTTTAACTGCAAAGCTACTGACCCAGCACTCAGAGAGTTGTGTCTTTGTTGCAGCCCTGTCAGGGAAATCCCCACCTCACCTCTCTCTCTCTCTCTCTCTCTCTCTCTCTCTCTCTCTCTCTCTCTCTCACACACACACACACACACACACATACACACCCTTATCTGTATCTCCTGTGCTCATCTTTGCAGTTACTTTAAAACGTACATTTTTTTTCTAATATATCTGTAATTCTGTTATAAGTATGTAGAAGACAACTTGGATATATTCAACATACAATATTTCCTGAACAGTATATGGCAAACAAGTATTTCCTGAACACCTGCCGTGGCCTGCCTTTCCTGAACACCTCTGTGGCCCACCTTTCATGGCCTGCGACACCCACCCAGAAGGGTAAGACGTGGTGTTGTCTCTAGAGGAGCTTGCTGATATGATGGGAAATAACACTGAAGACAGGACACACAATCTCCAATTCCTCCTAGCCAAACAGGGAACATAAAAGAGTCAAGTAGGCTAGGGAGGAAGTGGTAGGCTGGACAGGATCAAGCTCCCCATCAGGCAACACTACTCAGTCCTAGCTCGTGTCTGCCAGTTAAGGTGGAGACTGGATGTTGCCTGGTAGTTCACATTTCCAAAGTAGCTGAAAGCCTGTCTTTTGCTGTGAAGTCTACCATTAAAAAATAAATCTCAGGACTTGGGGAGACAGCTCAGTGGGGAAATCACTCATCTCCAGGATCGGCATAAAGCCATCTGTACTCCCAGCATTCCTTCAGTGAGATGGGAGGCAGGAGGAAAATCCCAAACTCACGGGCCAACTCGCCTACCATACACACTGGCAAAAAGAAGAGACCCTGTCCCAAAGGAAGTGAAAGGCGGGAACTAATTCTGGAGGCTGACCTCTGACCTCTACATCCTTTTCTCAGACTTGCATGCCCTTCCACGCACATAAACTCACACATACACACAGACAGACAGATAAATTTATTTTTAATTCATTGTTGTTTCCAATCAGTTGAAAAATGGTTAAAATGGTGTTTGATTTAAAAAGAAAATGTTTGCTAGCCTGGACAAGCAGATGGTTAGAATAGGATATTAGCAATGGC